CGAGATAAGGTCTGTGTGTAGGATCATTATCCTCTTGCAGGATCGAGCTACTTAGAGCTTCAGGAAATTGATGATGAGCAGTGGACAGAAGGCCGTCCTCGTATATGTCGTACATAAAATCTTCTGTCAAACGGTTTCTGAAAATAATTAATTACCGGAAACCTTGTTTTGAAAAATATCCCCAGACATGCAATTTGAGAAAGTATTCAGCTGTACGAACAATTTTGGTAACATCAGGAAACCACCAAACTTTTCTTCCGCTGTTGCCAAGTTTGAATGTCTTCATATCAGTAAAGCTGACGCTGTTCCAATTGAAATGTTCATGTTGTCGAACCTATATGAGTCGCTGCTCACGATGCTTGTCTGTGAGTAGAGGCTTTTTCGAAAGATGGATCATAACTTCCGCCGCTTTCATGTAATCGAAGCTGACAGTACTTGAATCTACATCCACACCATCGGGTTGTTTGAATTTTTGATATGTCATTTGGATTCCCCCTAATAACGCCGAAAGTCAAAATATCGAACGCTAAAAAACATCGAAAACTAATAATATCGAAAGAAAAAATATCGAAAGTAGACATGTAGAAAATATAAATATCGAAAAATAAGAATGTCGAAATATTAAAACATTGAAATGTAAAAATACCGAATAGTAGAAATATCAACGGAAAAATTTTCGAAACACATGTATATTGTCATGACAGTTTTAATGTTTGACATTACTGAAGTGTAATAGGACAACGAAAATGCTGTATAATTGAAGTGAAGATGACATTATCAACCTATGTTAGCTTTATTATTCGTATAAAACATTTTTCTTCTGTGGATATGAACTCTTCAAATGAAATAAATATATTGAATTTTTTATCTTGAACTGAAAAATGATGTCTATATTTTCGGCATTTTATCTTTCGACGGTTTTTACATTTCGACATTTTATTTTTCGAGGTCTTTATGTTCGATATTTTTATCTTTCGGTATTTTTATAGTTAATTTTTTCGACATTTTTATTGTTCGACATTTTATTTTCGTTCAAATTATGGTTAACCGTCATTTGATGTAATGTCTAGCTCACTTTTGGCAATATTAACAATCTTTGTATCTGTTTTCTTCGACGTTGCATGTAGTCAGCCAGTTTTTGGTACAATAGACAGGTCTTCATTTTGTTGCCATCTGGTAAGTCAATGTCGTACGGCTTTTGGTTCACACCCAATATACCTCGAGATAGCTTTATTTAACATTTTAGTACCTAGTGGATGCAGCTTGAAAAACACAATTTCATAGCGTTGTGATAGAGAAAGTGGCATGTTTTAAATTTTATGAAAGAATGATGATAAAAACCATTCTCGATATCGATTTACATTTTACACATTAACAATTTTTACATAAGACTGAGTCATCTGAATCAACCAGCAAGAAAAATGAAAAGCGAGAGAAACTATTGTCTAGAGTGGGAAGACTTTTGCCGAGGGATGTAATAGACACTGACTATGAGCTATTATACGTACTTTCTCTCGTTCCTTTTATGAGTGGATTGCGCTCGTATTGTACCGTGGCTTTCCAAACACGAGAACGATTATATCTCAACTCCTATTCAACGGATTTGAACAATTGTCTGTTTCAAATGCTTCTTATTCTCTTCCCTACTTACTATAAAAATATTAAGTTTCTTGGTTGCCGGCGCTTCAAAATTCTCGAACAAGAAAGTAGCTAAGACTTGGCTTTTCCTGACCATATAAATTGATCACAGATTTAGTTTTGATTTTCCCATGAAATCTTCCAAATACTGTCTAAACATACACTTTGATTGTTATATGTCACGACAGATTAAATTGAAACTATTAAAGCCGATTTAAAATCAGACTCAAATTTTCTTTGTCTATTTGATAGACTAACGAGCGAAAAATCGTTCGATTAAAAAAAAACTTTGTAAGGACTCCGTGTATGAAATAAAAACTAAAAGTAAAAGAGAAAGGTAGCTATTTTTCTACTAAATGTCAGGAGAGATTGTTGATTTTGTTGCTTTGATTTCTGTATAACTATAAGAGATTAGCCAATGACTTTTTATGTTTTTTAGCCGGTTCTATGGTAGACTTGTGGTAAAAATTTTATCTCTTCAAGCAGTATTGCTCGCGAGAAAACAGAATTTCACTGAAAACCTGTCACAACAGATTAAAACGATAGATGTTTAGAGGAAACAGAATTTGATTTCGACGTTCTTTAACTTCAATCGACTGCTAGGACACTGAGTGACGTTTTGAAACATATACTGAGTTTTCTCTTTACTTCTAATGAATCAGAGATCTGAGTATGGAATGCGGTGAGGCAGGAGCCAGAATGTGAGGCTCTCACTCGCACCATAACTCTCTTAAGGCATGTATTTTCATGTGCGGATAAAGATCTGGAAACACTCATTAGATTCTAATTTTCAACCCCTTTCGATTGATATATGATAATAATATATAGATACTCATTTGGTAGTTTTTTGGCCAAAACGAAATATCTGACAGTTGGGAAAATATTTGATTTAAATACAACCTATCGAGCTTTATCGAACGCACAACTCAAATAATCTTCATACTCACTTTTATTTTTTTTGAATTTTTTGCTACGACCGGTACAATACGAGTGCATTTCATCCACATACTATTTCATGGACGAATAATAGAATAGAACGACTTTGAAAAATATGGAGTGTAAGGACAAATCTAGAAGAAAGCAACGGTTAGATTACAATTATGAATAACGCTATTTACAAGAATATTAAAAATGCAGCTCAGTATGAATGCGGCGACGTGGCTGCAATTTACAAAATAAATATTATTTTAGATGAAAAAAATGCGTGTTTATTTCACTATCTGATCACTAATTATTTTGTTTGTGCTGAGTTCATATTGTTACGTGGATTGCCAATAATAGAGTCATCATATTTTGTTCTGCCTCGTGTAGCACTGTAAACAGTACTGATTTTCTGATTGAGGATGAATCAACATATATTTTCTGAAATTTTATGGTATCGAAGCTGATTTTGTGATAAATTCGTTCAATATCTTATTTTTCATTCGCTCTTTTTATGCAAATGACGAAAAAAAATAGCAAATAAATGACAACTTTAGTAAGCACCTTCGAAGGTTTTATTCGTCAGCAGAAGGTTGGTTGGTCTTAGAAAATATCTCGACTAAACCAATTCATGTTGTAGGTCCGGTTCAGTGGTCAAAATCGCATCACAATTGATCGGATACTTATATCACAAGTTATCGTCAATTTTACGGTGCAATAGGTCAATTCGTCAACATAAGCTTTGAAAATAGAAGACTTCACATGGATGAATGTGTGATTTCTGAATAACACCTATGGTTATGTAAATGGCGAATGAAGAAACCCATCTTCATGATAATATCGACATCCATTTGTCGAAGACCACAATTGAGCATTGAGTAGATAAAATATGGACCTGTGTACCACCAAATGGGTGAATGATTATGATATTCTTCTTCAATCTTTTCAATCGTTTTTTCGGAAGCATCGCCTTGAAGACGACAGTATTCAACGAGTTCTTTAATCGAATTTGCATCATCATCTTCTATGTCCAAAAGTGCTTCTTTTAAAAATTGTGTATACATAAATAACGGATCAATACCATTAAAACTGATCGAGATCATGGCTCGATCACAATTTCCTCGATCGATTTGTAATGCTTCACAAATCGGCTCAATTTGTGCGTATACACCTTTTACTTTAGCCATTATTTTTGCCCATCGTTCATGAATCACTTGGTTATCGCAAAAAATATAAATTGAGACTAATTGTGGGCAATCTTGAATTAGCGGTATTAGATGTTGTCCTAGGATACCAGAGACAATCATAAATACATTTTCATTTTCAATATCACTTAGAAAATCAATACATTCGTCAATGTCTGTAAATGTTGTGACTGTTTCTACAATATTTCGTAAATGTTGTATTGATTTTTTATAATCGTCTTTGAATTCATCGAAATCGGTATCAAGCCATACCAGTAGAAAGTTTTGAAGCACTCGACGCCTAGATGGAAGCAGCACAGCAGCAGCACGATTGTTCACGTTGGTGATAGCGGTGGTGCTAGGCATCGCTGCTGCACCACTGATAACAGTTGTTGTTGGTTTTTGTTTGCTCATAGTGATTGAATGAGTGAATATATTTAGTGAAGCATAGTCCTCCTATATTCGTAATTGTTAAATTGTTTTTGGTTAACATCACTCCTTTTCTGACTTGTGGCTACAGATTTCAAGGAACTCTACTATCTCGATCATTTCTTTTTCAAGAGTGTTACTGACAAAACGATGGTAACGGATGGAAGAAGTCTCTATACTTCAGACCAAAAGTAAGGAAGAATGGCTAAGTAAACAAATAGTCGCTGAAGATGGACGGTATGACTAGTCCGAAATATCGAAAATACCTGTCCTAAATAGTTATCCTGACAAGAAAAGTCCTGCAGTTACGTCTGAACTAGTCCAGAATGTCCTTGAACTTCGGCATGTCGGGCCCGTTTGTCTATCTAACCAGTGCAGATTAGTCTGTAGAACAGAAAAAGAGTATTTCTAAAAGTAAATATTGTGTCTTTCATTCCTGGTACTTCCGTTGAAATGCATGTATAGAAACAGTTACTCTGTTTAACGTGTTTTACAATTAGACTGTTTCATACATACAAGATTCTGCAACCAAGACAATCAATTACATATTCTGAGTATCATCAAGCGGAGCTCTCTTAAAACTATTTTATAGTCATCAAAACACCACATGTGTATGTCCCATCATTTTTTTCTTTTTTGTAGCTACTCTTTACTTTAAACTTTAATTTTCTTACTAGTTTAATAACGTTAGAAACTAAATATACTTACGTGCTATGTGATACTGGAGTGTAGCAAATTTTGTTTTGTGTGCTTGCAATCGATTTTATTCTGTATTTATCATTGGCAAAATTACATGTTTTTTTTTACCACAAAAGAATACTTACATGAATCAATGAAGCATGACTTTTTTTATCACGTAGACGACTTTCTTAGTCGACGTGGTCGTCATCACATGTATTTCGTTTTTCATATATTCTACCTCTTCTTTTTTTTACCTTATCTTTGCGTTTCATGTTGTTGCGATAATCAAATACACACTGATACTTGTATACGAGTAAATTTGAGTTATAATGCTTCATTGGGCTTTGAGCTTTGTTGTAATCTATGTAAATATTTTCTATCGTAAAATCTTCTTTTGAAAGTGATGATCATATAAGCAGCGTTAAAAGCTTCTAAATAAATAAATGAAAAATTTCATATTTTTCATTTTAACGTTCGATTTATGAAAAACTCTTTTTACCACTCAAACTTCATTAGATACGTCTGCAGCATGTCGAGAGACTAACAATGAAATTAGCAAAAGCCCAGTTTAATACTGAATTTTTTTCCTCGAGTGAAAAAATTTCAACGTCAACTACTCTATTGAATACTCAGGAAAACAAAGGAGTCCAAATAAACTCAGAAGAAACTAAATCATATTGGAATTCATGGAGGCCTTAACATTTTATCACTTCATTATTGTTATAGAATTCAATTACATCTACTTGACAAAGATCAAGGAAAAATTGGTCGAGTCCAGAATTCACATGCGATAAAAATTTCCATGTTACTTGGCGCTGTAGGTGATCATACACGAGCTCTCCTCCTGTCTCGGAAGAAATTATGTTATAATTTATTGTCAAAATTACCGACTATTTCATAATTGAAATTACTAAGCAGAGGTTGGAAACTTTGCATAGAAGACAACGTTACTGAACTTAATATACAAACAGATATGGAATTACGGTTTAATAAAAATTAAAGTTGAGTCAAAGAAGAGAAATATCTCTTGAGAACCATTTTGCAATAAAATTAAGTGATGAAAAACGAATTGCATTAAAGGGACTAAATATAGACAATTTGTTAGTTATATTATGAGCTAACGAAGGCGGTGCACCAGTATGTATGGAGAAAAGTGATGGTATGAATAAAGTAATTAAAGTTTTGCAAGATTCAAAGATGTTTAGTTGGATGGAAAATGAACAATCGGGAAAAGAAAAGCAAATGAATAAAGGTGTGGGTGGTGTTTGGATGTGTTGATAGATCATATACTCTCTCTCACTTACACCCACTCCCTCGATAAAGACTAAAAACATCGACTGAAACAAAGAAAACATATCAACAAGAATTCATTTATCTACTGTTTTAGTAGAATCGGCCTCTGTTATAACTATCACATCTAAATTTTCTAACCAGTTAGAATAATTTGTTATTAAGCTTTAGCTGCATTATACTAATATCAAATAAGTTAAGTAAAAACTCTAGTTAATGTTATTGTTGTTTTCAAGAGATAATCAATCTGCAGGGAAATTGTCGGCCTTATTTATTTTTTTCATTGGTGTTTCAATTTCTGTTTGGCTTGTTGATTTGTATTTTCATATTCTGTGTTTTATTATGATTCCAACCCTTGATTTAACTAGTAAATAAGTCTGTTGCATGTATCCATTAAAGTTAGAATAGGAATAGTTCACTTTTTCTATGTTGATCCTATGAGGACTGCATACCATATAAAGTATTCATAAACGTATTTCAGCCACTGAAGTTTCAAGAAAGGTTTTGAAATATTTTAGAACGGTCTAAGTTTGATTGGTGATGTCATTCAGTGCCTTTTCCTTCTATTACTAGGAAAACTATGCTCATCAGTCTCTAATCTTAAAAAAATGTCACTAGAGTGTACGAGCAAGCTGCATAGATCTGGATTAAAACTTGCTTTTATAACCAGTAGTTTTAATAATATCAAGAACAGTGTGGATATAGATGTTGATATTCGGTTTAACCACATCCACACTCTCTTTGAATCGTTTTAATTCGTAAACTCACACTCTGTTATTTGATAAAGTACATTATTTGCAAAAGCACCGATGATACCTCATCCTACTGAATTGTTTTCTGAAAATCGATTGATAATGATAAATTCAAAAAGTCTTGCACTGTAATCGTTTCTTTTTGTTTAAATCACAATTCTTTTTTCTTGATTTATTATTCGCACTTTTTACTATTTTGTTATCAATACAGAATAATTTCATAGCAAAGAAAAAAAAATGAATTTTTTATTGTAAAAAGCAATCCATCATTGTTTTTAGCAAGGGGGAAACGGCGGATTTTCGGGATTTTGAATCCCAATAAAAATCCAAAAACCCCATGATAATCCCAAAAATCCCATAAAAATCCTAAAAATCCCATAAAAATCCCGAAAATCCCATGATAATCCCAAAAATCTCATGTGAATTCCAGAATTAGGATTAAAATTATTAGGATTTTATGATTATTTTAAAGGGCAACTATACACGAGTAAGTGTAATCCCGTGACTATCCGACTTTNATCCGACTTTTTCTTATAAAAATGGTGCGCATTCAATCTCTTCGTGTTTTAAAATTTATAGTTCCATAAAGATAGTGTAGTGAATAGTAGCACTATTCCTTGTAGAAATGTCATCTTATGTGAGATATGTACTTAGGGTATTATTTATAAATAAAATTGAACGATCGGTGAATGTCTTTGTGTTTTGCATTATTTATTGAGGCTGTGGTACTCACATCTAGACACTGGTAATATTAGTTCATGGGCAAAGTTGAAAATATTAATGTTCTGTACCACTAAGAGTGCTTAAGTGTTCTAACTTGAAAATCAAGAAACGCCAAGAATTATATTTTGCCTTAGATATATCCTTAAA